TTCTGGTTATATACCACTCTGGTTATATACTCTTAGAGATGGAATATTTTCTTAAAATTTGAATAGCACCAGTACTGAGGTACTCCCTTTCCAACAAACAAAGAATCATCGAAATGTCGGAGTATACACTTAACACACACCAAAAATAATAAAAAAAGTTTAGACAAATAGAGAACTTCCTCCTTTTTGAAGTTAATTAATAACATAAGTCGTCAAAATTAAAACCAATTGCAACCGACAATGTAAAATTTATTCAATATAATTATTAATACAAACACTCGGAAAAAATTCCTTCGATCGGGCCGGATTCGAACCGACGTCTTACGCTTACCGTGCCAGACGCTATACCAACTAAGCCACGGAACAAACCAGCGGACCCCACGAATTTTTCTATGTGCTTGCGTCGTGTCTTTGTATTTGGTTTTTCAACGACTTTTTAGTCGTAGCACCATCTATGAGAAATCTATGAAAGTTTTATCACCCAGTTAGAAACCTTTACAGCTACCAGCCCTGGCGAGAGATGTCGCTGTTCACTGTATTGTAAATTTTTATTGAATTAATATTCAATTATTTTTTTGTGAAATTACTCGACTAGTTTGTTATACTTACTAATACAGAGATCGAACATTTAGAAAAAATTCCTTCGATCTGGCCGTATTCGAACCGACGTCTTCTAGCATACCGTGGCAGACGCTATACCAACTAAGCTTTATTCAATACGTTAATACAAATTTAAATCACAAATTACAAAACGTATTTCCGAAACCTACGGTATCGCAGTGGTAAATTGTTTAGTTAAAAAAGTAGGACAAAATACAGTGTAATAATTCCTGTATTTCAATGAGAAGTATTATTCACTCAGTGTGTTTCCTCGACGTTTCTGTGATCATCATTTATACCCAACCCAACGGCTTATACAATGTGCGCTGGATCTCTTTTTTATAATAACTAAGTGACGAGACGAATAATTCGTGCGCCTCATGGCAGGCGTGTCGCTGCCTGTCTATAACATTTGCAGTGCCACTCAGAGCTTTAAATCACAGAGATCTGTGGAACACTGCCTCTGCACCCGACACCCTGAGACATAACCAACAACAACAACAAGTCCCATGTGCCTGTAATTTCACCAGCACCCTTACCCTTCGAACCCGGAACGCAGTAATGCTCACACTATTCCTTCACAAGGAGCTCTACTGCTACTGTTTAAGACCAGGCAATTGGTGTGGTTATTACATTATTATTATTATCATTATCATTAACTCGCAAGCGTTCGACTACTGAACACGGATTTCCTCTAAAGGAGAGTTTTACGCCACTGCCATTTATGCTGGCCCAATTACAAGCATTTTATACAAGAGCACACTCAAGGTTCATAAATACATTGTATACTTAACATATTTACAAAATGTATGTATGAGACGTTTAATTGTATGAGTCATTTACGTAGTATTGCCAAGAATTAGTAATATAATTATAAGAAATAAATTAATGGAAGTTTTTACGATATTGTTTAAAGGTGGTAGCCATTACTATGTTAACTAAACTCTTTTTAATGGACAATTTAGCTTCCTGTACACTGCTAGGTTGTTACGTTTCGCATTTAATTAAATTAATGTGAAACAATGTAATGTTAATCTGAATTTTGTAGAAGCCTTCAAACATACGTCAATTCGCAACCGGTATTGGACCAGTAGTGCGATTCACGTAAGTTCAAGCTCTCAAAATATCATTGAAGTTACGTAGTCGTTCGATCGAAGTCCTATTCAAAATGGGTGTTCATGTATCACTTGAACGAACGTTGATATGAGTAGAATAGAAGCGTGACATTGTGAAATATGACATTTAGTTGTTGAAAGTCTATTGAAAGAACTGTCAAAATTTTAGCAGAATACGCTTTAACGATATTTGGATCTAAAATCAAGCTTATCAAGGGCAAGTACTATGCTGACATCCAAATAAGTATCCCCAAAAAACCTTGGTTTTTTAACCTTAAAGGATTCAGTAAATCTGTAACTTCTACGATATGCCGACTTCGCCTTGGTCATGCCTGCACCCCGATCCATCTGGCAAAACTTAGAATACGGGATAACTCAATTTGTGAATGTGGCCTAGATGAAGGTACCCCAGACCATATATTTTTCAGCTGCCCTTCCAGAACTTGTTCCATCTACGATAGTCTTCCACCGTCCATTCCGGGTCCCGTAAATTTCCAGTTTCTGCTATATGTCTTTTCAAATCCCCTACTGAAATTAATTACTGATTTTATTAGTATTAACAAACTTAAATTATAACACTATTTATTTTAATTTTATTTATATCATTAATGGTGATGGTACCTATATTGTGTCGTGTTGTATTGTTTCAGAATTGGAATAGACTAAAGAGCAGTGTTAAATGCTTAAACATTGGAAAATAAATAAAAGTGTAGCTCCCATGACTGACTAGACATTGGCAAAATTCTAAAAGAGAAGCAATCCTTCTTTTTAAAAATAGAATAGAATAGACATTTGGATCGAACGACTTTAAAATTGGACTCGTTAACGTGCACTGTCACACGTGAATCCGAAAAAGCAGATCAACGACTAAATCGCTACGATATCGTAACGGTTTAATTACGTGAATCACCCCTTGGACAATTACCTAAATCTTTTTAGTAGCAGTAGACCTTCTTGTGAAAGAGTTCGTCTAGGGAAGTACTGCCACCTTACCTATTTCTGCCGCCAAGCAGTTATATTAGCATTACTGTGTTCCGGTTATGAAGGGCAAGGGTCCCTACGACCTGTCCAACAATGAAACACTCGTACACAATGAAACACCGCGATAATTTGAAAATGCGACGTTACCAAATAGTGCAAAATAGCGTGCACTTGCGGAACCCCCCTCTAGTTCAGTTCAGCGAGTCCGTCACAAAGAACCAGACTTTTTTCAGAGTCTGTTTTGATTTATGGGCGAAAAAGTAATTAATTTTTTGCAATTTTCGTCGTCTCGTACTTAATTATACTTGGAAATCCCGTATTGCTAAATATTGCTTAGTACTGTACATGTTTCATAGATTTACGGAGACTAGATCAGAAATGAAAACATTTAAATTTAGTTGTACTTTTTTGAGTTTATTGTGACGTATCACAATGAAACAGTGGCATGGACATAATGTTTCATTGTGTACTGTAGTATAAGATCTACTCTATGAGTAGAAATACTGGCTGAATGAATATAGGTTTGGGTTTAGAATGTATTTCAAAAAGTAAGAGAAAAAAGATATTAAGATCTTGGCAATTCGAAACTAGATTCCAAATTGAATACACGATACAATTATATTTATTGAGTTTTCTTATGAAAGTATCTCTAAGCAAAGCAATCTGAGTTACATCTTCTATAGTACTATCTCTTGTGATTAAAAATAACCAATCTATTCGAAAAGATTATGTAGATTAAAGCATTTTTATATATAAAAAATAGGTTTTATTATTTATTTATTCCCATAATTACAAAAATAACGAAATAATTACCCTGTTTCACTGTTGAATATAAGGTGTTTTATTGTGTACATAACTGTGGACACAATGAAATATATCCCATTAAAAAAACCTTATTAAAGATTATCTATAAACTGTGTAAAAAATCTGTTTAAGACATTCGACGCTCAATTAAATTGGCAATCTGTGTAAATAAAATTACCCTTGACTTTAAATGTTTCAAACAGAACTATGAATGTTTGAAATTTTGGTGTTTCATTGTTGGACATGTGACCCTACTGTTAAAATTACAGACACATGGGACTTGTCAACTTATGTCTCAGGGTGTCGGGGGCAGTGGCAGTGCCCCTCAGATCTTTGCGAGTTAAAGCTCTGAGTTTCACTGCAACTGTTATGGACAGGTGTAGATTACCATCAGGCGCACGCCTTGCTCGTTCCGTCATTGATGTTATAACAACAAAAAACCCATGGCAAGGTGCCCAAGATGCTTGGGGACCCAATTGCCGCGGGGACCCAATTGTATTCACATAATTGAATTCTAAATTTAGTTCCTAATATTTAAGTTTTTATTGTTCTTTACCTGCATATTTTAAGCCTGTAAGGGTCATATCATTCTTTTATTATTTCCTCGCATTGTTCTAGAAATTACTGGTGAAATTACCGGCACATGGGAATTGTCTCAAAGTGACGACCGCAATGGCAGTGCGCCTCAGAACTTTGCATCTTAAAGCTCTGAGTGGCACTGAAACTGCTACGGACAGGTGTGTCGCTTACCATCAGACGCACGACTCGTTCGTCCCGTCCCTTGATAACATAAATTAAAAAAACTGTCTCATTAGAGAATATCTATGTCCAAGATTTGGTACGATGACGAAAATCTAATAATAAAAAAGAAATTAAAAAACGAATTAGGTATTTTTCCTTAAATTGCAACTGAAGATTTCTAAAATTAGAACATTATTAGGTTTAAAATATATGGATTACCCCAAATGTGAGTCACCAATTATCACTCCGGTAGAAGATTGCAGAAATTACCTTTGTGACGTATGTAGCGGCGAATGAAGGCTGTAGTGACGTAGAAGCGGTCGCGAGAATCCAGCGAGAATGTCGCAACATTGATATAAAGCTGGTTTCTTCGCGGGCGATTTCATTATACTACCGTCCGCGTTCAAATACTATCGACAACCATTTGCGCGTTGTCGAACTTCGACAATCGACAATTGAAGCGCTGCTGTAGTTCTTTCGAATGTGATATTTTTGAACTTTGAATTTTGCTCATTTCCAAAGTGTTCTTTTTTTGATGCTGTGATTTTGTATGAATTTTAGTGTTGCAAGTATTGATTTTTTTAAATGTATTATATTTTTCTCGTTGGATTTTTTTTCTGTTGCAAATAGACAACTGTGATACCTACATGGTGGCATAATGTGTGATGACACTATCCTATGAGACAAAAATCATTACAAAACGGTGACATGCTTCTAGATCATTAAAAAAATAAAAATAGTTAATTTGAATAATTAAATTTGAATTAGGAATTCCGCTCGAGAATCTTCGTTAAGACTTTGAATTTGGAACTGTGAGAAATTCATTCGTTCATCACCGTTAAGGTTTTGCCGTAAAAATGAAGGACTTAGTTCAAATTTGGAACAGAGTGACGGGAAAACAATATCCTAATGGTGACAAGGAGTTGAGAGAAACGTCGAACAATCGGCTAAAGAAGGGTGACATTGATACTTCGACTTTCGAAGCAAATTTTTCCGAATGCGAAGGACTGAATAGCAAATACGACGAATTCGAATTTACTGAGAGAAAAGATGCTATAATAAACCGTCTTTTTGAGAGAAGAAAGAGTGGACACGTCGGGAGATACCCTAAGGGTAAGTTTGAAAATTTTTTACTATTTCTTATTCATATTTTTTATGCTTAATTTAATTAAAACCGTTTAAATAGTCGTTTTTTGACTTTATAGGTTAATCACTATTATATTTTGCAATATTTACGTATTGATACCTCATGAACATTATGACAACTTAATTTTTCGATATGTTCCGTTTTTATTTTGTTTTTTGTTTCCTTTTTTTCACCAAACTCTTTTTTGTTTTTGTTTTTTTCGATTTTGTTTTTTGTTTCTTTATTTTTTTTCACAAAATTCTGGGATCATAATATTAGTACAAAATATGTCTCTTTACAAAAATAACAGAAAATGGCCAAAAAATATAGTTGAACTACTTCAACTATATTTTGTTCATTGGAGGTTGAAGGAGGTTGGTATGAGAATTGGAACTAAAGTATGATCATTTGTATAAAGTATAATAAATACCTATTGGGAGCAAAAAAACAGCGATATGTTGAAAATAGTTTTATTGATGTATACAATATTATAAATCAAATTGTACTTCACAACCACAACAAAATCTGGTCTCATACCAAGGAATTCTTTGTTCTACCCAGATCACCTAGGAAAATTCGTTTCTGCGTTCTAACTACATCAATTACATGGTTTCAAACTAGGAAATTCCCTGACTGGAACCAATTTAGAAAAGTTCATTTCCCAAATTGGTCCTATAGGGAACCGAACCCGGGACCGCCGACCACCGAGGTGTCGAATATTTGCCTCGGCACAGATGTTTTCTACTCTTGATTTATATCATTATATTTTGGTATCATTCTCTTTACGCATACAGCCCGGGCATCTTTAATCTGTCAACTTCTGGACTTCGGTCCATTGTCCATCTTATATTGAACCAATTGTCTTGGTTGGACTCATAATTTAACCCATGTTTTTTTTTCTATACCAACCAATTGCACAATTAAAATCACATTTAATCAATTATTTTTCAGCGTGTATTCCATATTAATTACTATCACTAAAATGCTCTAAAGAGATAGCTCAACGTAGGTAGGTGAGTTTTCCAGATTGTGAACATTCGATATGTAGGTTTTATTACAATGTTTTCCATGGCCGATAGCGGGACCATATATAAACATTAAACAGTCATGAATTAAGTAAATATAATACTAAATATGCTTAATATAGAAGAATCAAATCATTTATTTCGGACCCAACATGGATATATATACAATTACGAAATTGAATTTACAAATCAATAAATAAACTTTAAAAATTAATAATAAATACTATAAAATTGTTACCACAATAAATAACTTTAAGGAAAACAGAACTAATCTCATTATTGTTGAATTTAAATTACAATTTGACAGAATTACATTAGAACATAAAATTTATTAAACCAATCGTCAAAAAAAATCAAGTCTACAGGCAGGGAACTCCACTCCATAGCCATCGTTCAACAAATAAAAGAGATCGTCCTGGGTACCACCACTATATTTATTTCTCAAGCGTACTATTGAATGACAGGCATATGGCATTTGTCAACTTATGTCTCAGGGTGACGGGCGGATTGGCAGTACCCCACAGATATTTGCAATTTAAAGCTCTAAATGACTCTGGATTTTTTCGTCTATATCAAGAAATACAGGTTAAGAGGCCATTTACTTTCATTGTAAAAAAACATATTAAAAATCTAACTCCGCTGTCTTGAATATTACTTATTAATCTGTGGTGAAAATGTAGGTATGTGTAAAAAACTGATATCATAATTTGTAAATGACTCCTCCGTGCCTAACGATGTAAGCGTATTCTATAATGCAAAATCAAGTAACAATTTTCCTTATATTTTTTATTATATTTTTGAATTTATTCCATTCTTACGTATAACGCGTTGAAAAACAAAATACGTACAAAACGTTAAAACTGCTAATTAATTTCTAATATTGACAAATGGCAATACATTTTTTAAATTAAGCAACGCGAGTTTTTGTTACGAAATAATATCTACAGAACAACATTTGGTACTAAGTATGACAAAAAGAATACAAGGTTCAAAATTCAAATTTAGAAAGCTGTCCAGTGGCCATCTAAAGAATATTGTACCTTTGAAAAGTTCCGTTATACAATATCACTGAACACAACCTTACTACATTAGACAAAATTGTGTTCTACTGAGCGTTGATCTGTACAAAATCCCACCTGACACTGCTGGGTGTGGGGACCCTAACCTTGCCTTTAAAACTATAGGCAAGGTTAGGGTCAAACTAATACAGGATTGGTTATGTAACGTACAAATTAACGAGGAAAATTAAAAATCCTTTTATGGGCAAGTTCCGTTCATAAATCCAGAACAACTTTTACTTTTGGGCCTTTTCAAAACCGCCAAAAACATTCAAAATGTTTTTAATTCGTTTTAACTTATTCCAATTTTGAATTGCACAAGGATAAACAAGAAATAGGAAGCGGAAGTTTGCCAGAACATTTTTATATACAAAAAAAAACGAGTTCTTTTTAAAATAGACATTTTTTGGCCGGTCCTTAATCTAAAAATGTAGTTTTAATTGACTATATCACACATACTGTACAAGGCTTTGGAGTAGCCAGATATCTACAGGTCCAGTTTCAGTCTCCGATTGCTGACAAACCATTTACTGTTTAAATAAAACTCAAATCTTTATTTCATTTTGCCTACTTAGGCAAATTACATTTGAAATCGTCATGCTCATCAAACTCTACTGTTTATTCGTAAGGCATATTCCTGTGAGAAGAATGAGCAAGAAACCCTAGGGTCCATGTAAATAAAAATTTGTGCACATTTATCATTTCAAAAATAATATAGAGTATTGTGTTTTGGATTTTTGTCGTACGCAGAAATGTCGTTGTATAAAAATTATCATTGGTGTAAAAATTTTATAAAAAAGGGACTGACCGCAAAATTTTGTGGAATTACATCTATCTGCCAAGTTTCGTAGAAATCGGTTTACAGAAAGTGGATAAAATCCAATAAACCGTATTCACCCTCTAATTTGTCATCCGTACAGGTGGGATATCTTCAAATTTGACCACTGGGGGTACTAAAGGGGTACCTCCCCTTTCCAACAAAAAAGAAACAACAAAGCAGTAAAATATGGTATGTCCGCAATCGGAGACTGAAACTGGATCTGTAGACACCTGGCTACTCCAGACCCTTGTACAGTATGTGTGATATAGTCAATTAAAACCACATTTTTAGAATAAGGAACTGCCAAAAAATATCTATTTTAAAAAGAACTTACTATAGGTTAAAAATTATATCGTTAGGAAAAACCCATGCGCGGCAATGGAATATATCCAGATACTATTAGGACTTCATTTTTATAATTACGTGACGAACAAGACGTGCGCCTGGTTTTAACCTACACGCCCATCTATAATAATTGCAGTGCCACTCAGAGCTTTTAATCGCAAAGATCTTAGGGGCAATGCCACTGTACCCGTCACCCTAAAATGCAAGTTTTAATAGAAGCTTCTTGTAAAAGAGTCGTCCTGGGAAGTACTGCCACCTTACCTATTTCTGCCGCCAAGCAGTAATGCGAACATTATTGCGAAGTGCTTCCCTAGAGCTCTTCTTTACATTAAGAAACAAAGAATGTTCTTTTTTCTAATTAACTACGATAATGGTACATATATTATGTAATTTACTGGTTGTACTGAACACTGTAACACGAGATGAAATTAACTTAGTCATTGTACAACTGGTTAAGTTAATTGTTTAGGTAGTAATTAAGTTAAAAGTTTTCTTTGTTAAGTAAATAACCGTGATGGAAATAACATTTACGACGTACCATAAATATAGCTGTTTTATTTTTCAAAAGTTTCAAAAGTTTCAAAAGGGAGCCATGGTGCCATAGACAAATGATGAAATTATAGCCTATTTCACGTGGGTTGGGATTTGGGAAAATTTTAAGCACGCATATTATTTTTAATCGATTTCAAGAAAAGAAGGAGGTTCCGCGAGTACTCCGGAATTTATGAACCGATATTGTTGTTTCTTTTTTTGTTGGAAAGGGGAGGTACCCCTTTAGTACCACTAGTGGTTCAATACAAATTTGAAGATATCCCATCTGTAAAGATGACAAATTAGGAGATGAATAGAGTTTATTGGATTTTACCCACTTTCTGTAAACCGATTTCTATAAACCTTAGCAGATAGATGTAATTCCACAAACCTTTGCGAACGGTTTCTTTTTTATAAAAGAGCTATCATTATTATCACTACTGGACACGGGGCTCCTCTGAATACAGGCTAAATGCGTATAGTGCGAACGTCCCTCGTTTTCCTTGCGTGACGAACCATCTTCGACCTGCTTTCTCACAATGTTTTCCTTCATCGGAAAACTAATGATAGTAAATCTCAAACTATATTTCGCTAATAAATTCCAAGAAATTCAGAAGTGCTAGCCCGGATGCAAACTCACGGCTTCTGCTTGAGAGATAGGATACCTAACACCCTACAAAGATGGGCAGTCGCATTACCCCTCTCTTCCCTCGTCATACAAAAATTAAACAGTTTCTAACAAAATGTACATAGCTTATATTTATTGTTTATTATTCATTAGAATTGTAATGTATCAACAATAATCGTTTTAAGGCATGATCACTGGAAAATTTATAGTTATTGGTTGATAAACAGATATGCATTAATGGCGGTTGCAAATATGACGTCAAAGTTTTAATGTATGCGTAGATTAGACCTATAGTTCCCACAGTTAAGACTCAGTACTACCTCAGCTGGAATTAAAATTTTTCCCGTACTGAATCTGGTCGGCTTTATTTCAGATTTTATTTTTTACAAACGAAATTAAAACCATTTGAAAAATGTATATCGTATACTATACGAGTTCTGTTTAGTTCAGTTGATATAAAAATAATTATTATCAATATCAATATACCGGTTTTCTTGTGAAATTTCGTTGTAAGTTTGTGTTTTTTTACCTATCGTAAAAAATTTTTCGAATCGTGTTTTCACACCGTATAGTAATCAGT